TGTTTTGTTTCTTAAATTCCACATATGAGTGAAATCATATGGTATTTGTCTTTCTCTGACTGGCTTATTTCACTTAGCATTATACCCTGTAGGTCCATCCATGATGTTGCAAACAGCAAGAGTCCATTCTTTTTAATGGCTGAGTAATATTCCATTGTATTTATATACCATCTCTTCTTTATCCATTCATCTATTGATATACAGTTGGGCTGCTTCCATATCTGGGCTATTGTAAATAATGCTTCAATAATCATAGGAGTGCACATATCTTTTCAAGTTCATATTTTTGTTTTCTTTGGGTCAATACTCAGTAGTGGAATTACTGGATCATATGGTAATTCTATTTTAATTTTTTTGAGAAACTTCCATACTGTTTTCCACAGTGGCTACATCAATTTGCATTCCCACCAACAGTGCACAAGTGTTCCTTTTTCTCCACACCCTCACCAGCACTTGTTATTTCTTGTCTTTTTGATTCAAGTCATTCTGATGGGTGTGAGGTGATATCTCATTGTGGTTCTGATTTGCATTTTCCCTGATGATTAGTGATATTGAGCACCTTCTCATGTATCTATTGGCCATCTGTATGTCTCCTTTGGAAAAATGTCTGTTCATGTCCTCTGCCCATTTATTAATCAGATTGCTTGGGGGGTTTTTTTGGTGTTGAGTTGTATAAGTTCTTTATATATTTTGGATATTAACCCCTTATCGATATATCATTTGCAGTCTCTTTTTCCATTCAATAGGTTGCCTTGTCATTTTGTTGATGGTTTCCTTCATTGTGCAGAATCTTTTTATTTTAATGTAGTCTCAACAGTTTATTTTTGCTTTCGTTTCCTTTGCCTGAGGAGACATATCTAGAAAAATGTTGCTATGGCCAAAGACAAATTACTGCCTATGTTTTCTTCTAGTAATTTTATGGTTTCAGGTCTCACATATAGGTCTTTAATCCATTTTGAGTTTGTTTTTGTGTATGTTCTAAGAAAGTGGTCCAGTTTCAGTCTTTTGCATGTAGCTTTTGATCTTGCAGTCTGTATTATGGAGGGGTGGGGGAGCTGCCTTAACAATGCAGTGACAAACATTCTGTGTCCAAAGTGAACTTTGATCAAGATAAAAATGTAAGAATTTTCTGCAAAAAATAACATGGACCCTGAGTGAAAATAATACCCTAACATGGAAATACATAGAAATTAATTCAATAAAAATTTGTTGAGTGAATGAGTGAGGAAGAAGTGGGAATATCACGTGCCATCCATTGGGGGAGTTGAAAAGAGTAGAAGCAAGGGAAGTGAGGTGAGAGGAAACAAGTAGGGTTCATTTCTGAAGTGTTTAAGAAGAGCTATTTTTAAAAATTTTATTTACATGCTGGCTGTGGGGCTTGATTATCCCTCAAAAAACCATACCCTGTGCAGGGTATATAGATTATCTGGTAACAGATTTCCATATGCCCTTTTCACTCAAGTTCCCCAGCAGTATTAAAGGCATGCTTCAGCCTCAAGGTCAACTCCATTAGCCCAGATGGAAAGAATCTTGAATAAACAAAGCAAATGAGCAAACCTTGTACACAACATCAGTCAAATCCTACTGACTATCAAGAAAGACCAATTAACCTGTTTTCTCCATTTTTACTAGGACTAAGAGTGGGACTGGTCATCTATCATGAGAAAGCCAATTTTAACAGTATAGCCAGCCAGATTATAAATGGCTTACAATGCACTAGATGGGCTGTTTTTAAGAGATTGTTCCTAAAATTGTGTATGAATATACTGTGACCACGAGATCATACTTTTAGAAAAGACACATTGGTGAATATATGAAAAGATATATACAAGGCTATTCATTGCAGTGTTATTTATAATAGCAAAAGGCTGGGCACAACCCAAATGTCCATCAATGGGATACTGTTTGAATAAATTATATCATTTCATGTAAGGTGAAAAATGTGCATATTATGCTATATTTAGCTAAGAAAGTTAGGGGCCATCTTATACCCAAAATCAAAGAAGTTGTCAAAGACAACTGAGGCTGTGCCCAAAAAACCCAGATGCCAACTTAAAGAGGCTTCTACTGACCAAAGATAGACAAATGTGTACATCAATAAGTATAATAATTTTGATGGATTAAAACACATAAAATATATTTAAATCCATGGCTTCATAGTGGTATTTTTAAACAGCCATTGTTCACCTTTAGAGGATGTTAGGGAACTAACTCATATGTATTGGCTTATAAGCCAAAATGAAAGCATAAACCAAAAACCCAAACAGTGTTCGAGGAAGAAAGGAATGGGATACAGACATTTGTGGTATAACTGTCAAGTGATGTAAAAATATAATTAATATGTAATTCAGAATAGTATACCAGGGTGGGTGTTGGGGGCATATGAGATTGGGAACAGACATGCAAGAGGCTTCAAATGCACTGGTAAGTTTTTTAATTCTTAAATTAGATGGGGGGCCTATTTGTTTTCATTGTATTGTTGTTGGTTAAATAGTATTTATGTATACTATATATTATATGTGTGTGCATGCATGTGTGGGTCTGTATATAGGCTTACACAAAAGTGGTTTATATAATGGCTAGGATATCATTTGTAGAACAAACACATTTGAAAAAGAAAAGAATTTGACTATAAATAATTAAGGCACATAAAAGTAAATAATTAAATGGAGTTATTATGCTGCAGTGGAAATGAATTTGTTCAACTTTGAAACACTGTAAGAGCGATTAATTCATCAAATGTTTTTTAGTCCCTGTGACAGGTACTGTGCTATGTGAGGGGCATGCATTGACAAACAAAACACACAGTTCCCATTCCGTGGTGGGGGATAGAAACATCGAACAAGTCAATGGCCCATAAATGTGTACATACAACCTGCAGTGAGAGTATTAGTCTAACAACCAACATTTACTGAGCAGGTTTGTGCCAGAAACTGTTGTAAAAGATAGACCACCATTTTGCACAGGAAAAAACTAGTACACATCTATGTTAAGCAACTCATTGAAGGTCAAATAGCTTAGAAATGGAGCAACTGTGAATCAAACCCAGGCAGTTTGACTGCAGAGCCCAAGCTCCTATGCTATACTGAGTCGGAAAACACTTGAATTATCAGCGGAACAGAGACGCTTATTTTAGTTTTTATTGGTCAGGGAAGGCCTCTCTGAGCACCTGCATTCATGTTTAGAAATACAAGTATTAGGAAAAGCTAACTTGATCCCTCGTATGTATTAAATGACCTTCTAAGTGGTAGGAAGCCTAGAGGGCAGGTGTAGGCAAAAGGAGAATACTGAAGAGGGAGGTCATAATGAGAAGGCTTTCTCCTTCAGCCCCTTCACTCATTCCCTCGGGCCTCAGGGAAGCATGTGGCAAGGGGGACTGTAGTGAAGTATTTGGCCAGGACCTGGCACCAGGGGGCAAAGGACCAAGAAAGGAGTGTCAGTTAATTAAATTACACCTTAATTAAAGCAAGTCTCTCTACTTTGGCTTCCCCTTGGGCCACTCTGGGGTTCCAGATGAGCTCCAGGGCCTTGGGCAGCTGCTTCTTAATGCCTTTCTTTAGTGCTCCTTTGCCTCCTCGCTGAGGCCTGCCCCACACTCTTCTCAGGACCAGGCCTATGTTCAGTGCCTCGACTCAGGCTACTACTTCAAGGCTGCTACACCTTGAGCAAATGGCAAGCCTCTACACTGAGCCAAAAAAAAAAAAAAAATCAACTATGGGAAGATGATTGCAATGCACTTCAAAAATTCCCTCCAACATTGCCCATTAAATAGCATTCCAGGAGTGAGGTGTCATTTGGCATGATAGCCAGAAAGACTTGTCCATACCAGTGCAATCACTATTTGACTTGGAGACAACAGGTTTTGCAAATGCCCAGCAAAATGGGCTGCAGGTTAGGAAAGACCATGCAAAGAAAATGCTAGATGATTTTTTTGATTAGGACAAATTTTGAAATCAGAGTTGAAGTCACACATTATTTGCAGAAAATGTATGATGGCTCTATTGTTTTCATTAGAAAAGACATTCAAAATTACTCAGACTTTAGAGGAAAATACTCTATTGCTCTTAAACCTCACTCAGAACTAAAATTTTCAGGTGTTTTTGAGGCAGATTTTCAAGAGAATACAAAATGCAAGGATACTTTGCTTCCTAATAAGTCTGTGGATTTAACCTGAAGAACTAGACAGATAAGGAATTAGATTTGGTTAATCTGACAGCAAACTCTAAACTATGACTGGAAATGCAGAGAATAGAACTTTTAAAAGGGAAAGAAATTCAAGCATATGTTAATATGATACATCCAGAACTCCTTTTCACATAAGTATTATAAATTCTAAACCACTGGAGAGCCAAAAAAAAAATCCATTAAATGGTTCACAAATGGTTCACAAATGTGTTCATTCTTTCACTGTGAGGATGATGCTGTCAAAAATAAGAAAGATGATGATAATGATTTAAGAGTTGGGGATACTAACAATAGAGTTCCCCAACACTTGTCAGGCTAAATGTATTTTAAAAATCTTCACTATTTTAAAATTCAGTGAATGGGGTTAAATATATTGAGAACAGAAGAAGCCTAATGTGAAGAAAAATAGCCCTAGCAATCGCCACTCTACCACCCCTTTGGAGCTTTCGGCCATCCTAAGGCAAGGTTTTGGTATAGAGTCTGTAGATGTTGGATGTTGTAAGTGGAGAAGGTGTCATTTTTAAATCAATTTTGAAGTTGTAACACAGACAGGAACATATGACATGATGATTATGAGAGAAACTCTGATGAGTTTAATGACAGACAAGGAATTGGGGAGAGTATTATTAATGAAGAATCCATTTGCTATGAAACCTGTGAGTCCATTTTGAAAAGGAAGAAGAAACAAGAAAATCATCAGGGGCAAGTTTAATCCTTTTGGGGAACATTTGAAGCTTTTTCTGAAACTTTAATAGAAAGAGTTGTTTGGGAATTGTTTTTGTTTTTCTTTCTCTTTCCCTCAACATTGCATGTAGCCAATGCTCATTCCATCCACATACTTTGTGCGGAGCTTCCCTGAAGGGTTGGTGAAAAGTATCAGAAGAAACTACAAAGAAGATTTCAAAATCCAAAGCTAAAAGGCTGAAACAGAGAAACCAGGAACTTCTTCTGAAATGGAAGATTACATCTTAAAACCTGATTATGCTTCTGTTTACAACATATAAAATAAAATATGTTTCATGCATCTTTCAATAAACTTTGCATTCATTTTACAGCATGTTCTTTTGACATTAATGATATTTTAAAAGTAGGTTTTTATATTTTTTAAAAACTGTATTTTATAAGAGTATTTTAGATAGGCCAACACTTAGATACTGCTCATATACATTGGAGGGTGAATGTGTTTCAAATACAGTTTGTGTCAGTAGTGATGTTCTATTTATCATCGACTATTTTAAAGAAACTCTTAAAATGTCAAATAATTCAATAACTATATTCCATTATTTACTTCAGAATTTCTGAAGTTAATTTTTTATGCACTCCTATTGTTTTTGTACCTAGGTGGCTGTTATAAGATTCAAGTTTCTTTTTCTCTTATAGTAATCTCTCATAGTGCATTCATCTCTAAGGGAAAAAAAGATAGCTTTGTTCGCTGCAAAAGGCATATATATATATATATATATATATGACTTGCTAGAAATATATATATGCATATGCAAAGATGTTTTTCCTTTTACCTATAATAGCAAGGAGGAGCAGAAAGGATATGCAGGAGGAGGTGGAGAAGGAAAAGAACTAGGGGGAAGATGATAAGGAGGAAGAGGGGAAGTAGAAGGAGGAAAAGGAGGAGAGAGGAGGAAAAAAAAAGAGCAGAAAAGATTTTATTAATCAAAAGGGAGCAGCCAAGTATATTGTATGCCTTTTATTGCGTGAAATTCTTACAGTTGTTAAATATACCTAGCAATTTGCCAAAATGTTTAAAACATAATATATAGTATAAAAAGCAGAATACACAGTTGTATGCACACAATGCTTATTACAACAATCTAAAAAGATATATGCTTGTGGGCATTACTTGGAGGAGAATATGCAAAAAAGAAAAAAGAAGTTGTTGTGGATAATGGGATTGAGAGTGGGTTTTTTTAATTTTCAAAATGTGTCAGCACTTTTATATTGTTTTTGCAATAAAATAAAAATAAGTGAGAAAATGGATCACTGCAGTTAATTAATCAACATGGCGATGATAAAGAAACAAAGATTTATCTGAGAATGATCTTTCAGCTAAAAAATAAATCCCCCATTATTTATCATTTTAAGCATGGATCTTCTCACCCACATGCACAATTTAGTGGCAAGGTAAGGAGCATAAGGGAAAGAAAAGCAGTCATAAATATGGGCAAACTGTACTGAGGTAGAGAAGCTGCCAAAAGAGGCTTAAGTGTGCATCTTAGGAGTACCAGACTGTGCACCTGGGAAAACAACATCCACTTCCAAGTCCCATGAAAATGCAATCAGAATCAGAAGCTAAGGTGTGCGGAATATAAAATGAAATAAATAAGCATCCTCCTTAAAGTGCCTAGACTTTCCTTTCTGTGTGCTAGTTATAAATGCATGGATCCCCCAAAATGATTAAACACCTAAAATTAGCATTCTCTATTTTTCAGCTAACTTCTTGGACAAAGATTAGGAATGCTGCATAGGGTGGAATTTTGCACCTGGGTCAGAGGGTGTATTCTTGACCAGATGCAACCCATTGGTCATACCTGAAAAAAAGGCTTTAACAGCCCTTTCTTTTCAGGCTACTACTATTCTTAGCATAATTCCTCTGGCCTCACTGGGGAGAAGTGCCTCCAGAAGGAGAAAAAAGGGCTGAGATTTAGAGGCAAGTGATTTTTCACCAAGAATACACTACAGGGTTGGAGAGAACAGGCTAATTATCTTTAGCAATGAAATTCTGTTTTGATAAGGCCAGGGCGGGGATAGGCAACATGAAGGAATAAATAGGTCAGTTCATTGTTTTCAGTTGAGTCAGCAGCTCTTTGGCTGCTCTAACACAGGGGAATGGGAGCCCTGACAGCTCATAGGTCAGCAGAGCATATATTGTTTAAATAAAATCTATCAATGCATTGAAATATGGCTGGTCCTCAAAAACCTCTCTTTCCTACAAAAATATCAACATCTCAGCTCCCACCCCTTGGCTGCTTTGCATCTCAGTGCCTGCCTTTCCCTGACTAACCACTTCTTTTCAGAGCTGGTATACAGAACCTGTAAGCCTTCATAAAATTGCACATCTCCCTCAGCTACAAATATTTTTCAAGCACCAATTGAAAGTAGGGAATAAAAACTGTTAAAATTGCAAGCTTCCCACTGAGCTACAGCCACTGATCTGGACTGTAACAAGGTCTGATGACTTGGGAAGAGTTGAGCAAATCTCCCGCAAGCTTATTAATGCGCAGAATAAAGCAGACTGGAAGCATCGCCCTGCTCATTCACCGGCCTTTTACCTGTGGAAGCCATTGTCCTTAGAGAAAGTCTTCAATCATTTCTGGTCTGATTACCACACTCCAACCCCAGCTCCAGAAATAGATCTGCGTCATCCACAACCTGGAATTCCCTATCAAGAGTAGTTTCACACTCCCAACTAGGGGCATTGAATCCCATCCCCAACCTCTCCCCCCACCTATGTACACACACACACACACACACACACACTGTGTCTGGACCCCAAACACTGATGTGAAAAATCACAACTTCCAACACATTTCTAAATCTACCACAGGTCAAAGCTGTGTCTGAGTTACTGACCCATTCCATCAAAACATGAACTAGGTTGAAAATCACTGTTGGGACAAAAGGAAGGGAAAGAGTAATGGACATCATGCTAAGTGAAATAAGCCAGACTCATAAAAACAAATACCACATGATCTCACTTGTATGTGAAATCTAAAAACATCAAACTCATAGAAGCAGAGAGTGGAATGGTAGTTGCCAGGGGCTGAGAGAAGGGGAAAGGGGGAGATGTTGGACAAAAGGTACAAAGTTTCAGTTATAAGGTGGATGAGTTCTGGAGATCTAATGTATTTGTAACTATAGTTAATAATACTGTATTGTATACTTAAAATTTGCCAAGAGAGTTTTTTAACAACCATCTTTTTCCCATGTTGGAAACACTTCTCCACAGGCATGACAGAATGGGCAGCACATCCATTCACTAATATAACACTGTTAAGAGAGTTGAACTTAAGTGTTCTTGCTACAAAAAAATCATTAACTATGTGAGGTGATGGATATGTTCATTAGTTTGATTATGGTAATCATTTTGCAGTGTATACACATATCAGAACATTACCCTTGTACCCCTTAAATATATAAAATTTTATTAGTTAATTATACCTCAATAAAAGCTGGAAAATCTAGTAAATTAGGAAGAGGGCAGGATAAAAGTAGATGCTTTTGCAGTGCAGTCTCGGAAGAGGAACATAAAGACTTCAAAGGGCACTCATGGATCTGTTGGTGGGGATGACACATCCAATGTCTGATGGAGATGGTGGGAAGTTTTCATGAGTGGAACCAAGGCTCGCTCTCTGGAGAAATGAAGAGGAAGATAAAAGACAACCAGTAGGCAAACATAAGGGGTTTTTGAGGAAGTGTCCACCAAGAATATAACATGAAGTTTTTTCAAGTGCTCTCATCTAATAACTGACATTAACTGAACACATTGTTTCAGACACTGCTTCAATTGTTTTACGTGCTTCAATAATTTAATTATCACAATACCCTATAAGATGGGTCAGATTATATCCCCATTGAAAGATGAGGAAACTGAAGCACAAGTGCATGCTTTTTACTACTCCACTATACTCTGCATCAGGAGTCTGCAAACTTTTTCGGTAAAACCAAATAATAAATATATTTGGCATTCCAGGCCATATACCATCTCTGTCTCAACTACTAAACTCTGCCATCATAGTGTAAAAGCAGAAATAGACAATATGCTATGTTCCATGTTGCAATAAAACTTTCTTTACCAATAAAGTGAATGAAAGCTATAGGGGCAGATTTGGCCTTAAGGCCATAGTTTGTAGATCTCTGATCTGTATTTCTGGAGCCACAGGAGAACTTGGTCGGAGACACATAGCATCAGAACACAAAACTGTTGCTTGTAGATAATGGGACTTTTTCTGTCAGGCTTGTTGGTCTTGTGGGTCTGCATCACTGGGGCAGTTTGCTTTAGATATGCAACATGTCCGAGGAACATAACTGCAATTTATGAGAGCCAACAAGACTCTTTGCCTCCAAAAGGAGCCATTAAGAGGTGATCTCACGATGGACTCTGAAAAACAAACTGAGGGTTCTAGAGGGGAGGGGGGTGGGAGGATGGGTTAGCCTGGTGGTGGGTATTGAGGAGGGCACATTCTGCATGGAGCACTGGGTGTTGTGCACAAACAATGAATCATGGAACACTTCATCTAAAACTAATGATGTAATGTATGGGGATTAACATAAGAATAAAAAAAAAAAAAGAGGTGATCTCAAACATAACCCACATTCGGATAGAAAAGGAAGTACAGGCCGGCATCTTTAGACATGTTTTGAGACTCCTCCCCCCAAATTATAAAGGCAGAGCCCATCAGAATCAGTCATCCTAAAACAAGTGTCATTTTGGTGGATATTTGAGGTAAGGGAAGGGAGAGAAACATTTGTATATTGTTTGTAATTTGATTTTAGGAATTTCAGCATAGACCATGTGTAAATTAATTTTCTCCTACATCCTAGGTTCTATAGTTACCATTGGAAGTGCCCTAATCAGGAATGCATACTCCCGAGTTGGTTAGTTAGCATCTGAGGGACCCTATTTCAGAGGTCCTCATGCCATAGGGTGCTACTACCAACTTTCTGGAATACAGCTATCTAAATCTGCACCAAAGGCTTGACTAGTTGACATGAGGATATGTGGTTGTCTAGAAAGTGTTGACCTCAAGCTTTTCCTGAAGGAGATTGAACAGTCTGTCAAAGCCAGCAACTTTACACATTCAAAGTAGCACCCTAGATCTAGAACTCTAAATGAGGAATTCTGTCACCTGAGCCTATGAACAAGGAAACAGACTCTGCCTTCCTAATCTCCTGTCTTTGCCTCAGAGAGAATCTTTCATGCAAAGTACTTTGACTAAGTGCCTAGGGCCCCTAAGGGGACAGAGAATAAGAACTACTTACAGAAATAGATTGTGCAACT